CAGCTGTTGCACTGCTGCTCGCCGCCGCCGCCCGCGCTCCCGCCACCTATAATATTTTGACACTATATTTTTAACTGTCTTCACATTAAGCTTTGAATTTATACTTTAATTTGGTGTGTTATGCGTAGAGGGAGGATGAGGTCCACCGACCGGCGCCGGCCTGCTCCAGGGCCATCTTCTCCAGCACAAAGCGCTGGTCGATCATGTTGGCGGGCTGGCACTGCAGCCGGCACGCGGGACACGTGATCGTCACCCGCGACGCGCCTGCAACACACCGCCGCTCTTATCCACTACTCTATAAGATATTCAAATCTACCCCTCAATGTTAAGGGTTGATTTTATTCAGTGGTGGTACTTAAAATTAGTGTAGTATGGTAAACATGTTTTTATTCATCCTGCATCAAATCGTAAGATGTATGAATGTAATGAAGTATTCTTGTCAAATCGTAAGATTCGAAATTCATTGTTTCATTCTCACAAATATAGGTTTTTTTTTCGCTTAACAGTTTTTCAATAACTAAAGGCACACACTAACAATAAATTTAAAGGAAACCTAATAAAAAGTGTGTTAAACTGAATGAAAGTGTGGCGCTGCGCTTCTGCGCTGGAGATTTTAAAATTGAACTTTAAAATGTATTAAAAAGCATATTGCATTAGAAAAGCATTTGATAAATACAAATAAAACATATCTGGTACCTTTGCCGTAATAAAGGATTTTGAAAAGTGATCAGATCCAACATTGTCTATATTTTATTGACATACAAACAATATATCTCTAGTATTAGTAATATTTGTGTAAAAGCTAAACAATCACCTAGAAAGTCACAATTGGTAGAAAGTTTTTCATCAAGTTTGGACTTGATGCAGGGCTCGCAGGCGGAGTGCAGGCACTCCATCAGCTTGGGTGTGCCATCGGCGTGCGCAAGCGGCGTGCGGCACAGCACGCAGCGCGCCGCACTGCCAGCGCGCGGCGACGCCAGTGAGTCTGCGCCCTCGCCCTCCGCCTTGCCATCCCCCTCGCCCTCGCCGCCCTCCACACCCACACTGCCCACCTGAACCACACATTGCATACTACACTAATGTTTAGGATTGTTACAGAACTCAAACCAATGATTTTTAAAATGCCACATGTTTTTTAATGTTAATCTCAGAAATGGTTTCTAATTCTGTAACCAATTTAGTAACTAGATTGAACTGACTTGCAGATCAAATTAATCTGAAGGGGTATAATTTGCATGTTATGAGAGTCACCAATCAGTTCAGGGCACATCAGCTGCCATAATTATAGTACATTGTATTAAATAATTCCTACTAATTCAGTTGTTAAGCCGCAGCACAACACTTCAAGGCTATGTGAGCTGATCTCTTGAGCCCATTCAGAGCTGATTACCACATTACCCACATTTTCTACCATCTAAGAATTTATGTATCTGTATGTATTACTAGAATTACAATATTACCACGAAATTTTAAATTGATTCCAAAACAATTTAACTAAATAAATTGTGATAACTCATAGTTACTGTTACTTATAGAAACTTTCTAAGTGCTAAACATATGTATCACAGTGAGAGTTAAACAATTCTGAAGACCTTAATTGTTAGAAAATACAAGTAGAAAGAAGAAAAACATTTTAGTTGTTTGATTTACAGTAAATATTTAATAAATTACATTGAGATTAGGTGCAGAGGCCGGCGCGGGACCTGTGGTGGCTTCATGCAGCTCCTCGGCCGCTTCCTCCTTAATGGTGACTCCGAGAAGCGGCCCGAGGTCCATCAGCGCGCGCTCGATGTCCTCTCCGCTCGGTTGGAAGCCAACGTTTTCCATTTAGGATGGTGTGACCCACTATCGTATTTGTCTCACTTCACACATATTTTCTCTACACCCGAAGGAAAAGTTTCATCAAGAACTTTCACTACACAGCCTCGATCGGGCACGTCAACATAATTGAGCACTTAATGCGAGATGAGGCCACTTGAAAGCGTCTTTTGAAACGCAACTACTCGATTAATTAAGCCTCAACATTTACATAAAACAATTGCTTTTAATATAAAACAGCGTAAGTAACAAAACTGTTTTAAAGTTACACTCGTACAATTATAGTTTTTATTAAACAAAATATTAACGTGCGTCCTTCTTAACAATACCGAGACCATAAACGAGACAATAAACAAGGGCAAGGGAGTGGAGATGGGAATAGATCAGTGTTGCCAACGAAACTTTTAATACGTCCTTATTCTTGAGTTTACATACCTACATGATACATTCTACCAAAAACATGAAATACGGATTTCTTTTACATTAAAACTAGCTGTTGCCCGCGACTTCTTCCACGTAGAGTTTAAAAGTTCAAAGCCATTAACAAACCAAGTACATTCGTCCCTTTTTTAACCTTATTAGTAATAGCTTTTGTCTGAGACATTGTCCGCGTGAAATTTGAAAGTTCGAAACTGACGTTCGCCCTTTTTTCAACCTATTGCCAAAAGTATAAACGTATTTGGATAAGGATAAAAGTTGAAACCAATAAAAGAACGTCGCAAATAGCGTGGGCTTTTTAATTCGTTTTGTAAACAAAATAGTGGTTATTGTAAGAAACCCATTAAAGATAGATATATGCCACTACGGACTTTTCTGTAGAACTTTTTCAGATCTACAATTCTTTCGTACATCACTTTTATCTATCTTTAAGGGTTTAGGCAGTGTAAGCGGAGAGAATATAAAACATAGTGAGTCTTTAACGCCGTGGTACAGAATTATATTGTTTATTAATAGTTCCTGAACATAAATAATATTAAACATAGCCTATGTTACTCATAAATAAATTTCCTTTCGAACGGTGTAAGAAATTTTAAAATTGGCCTAGTAGTTTTTGAGTTATTTCAATACACACAAAAATACCAATCTTTCCTTGTTATAATATCAGATCAGTACAGATAGACAAGTGTATTATACACGGTTTTATAACCGCTATTTCTGTCTACTTATTTAATGTTTTGAGGGAAGTTAGGTTGAATAAATGTTTTAATAATCAGTCTTATTTTCAATTTAAGCAACACTGATTTTTTATGGATTTGACATTTAAGTGACAACGTCGAATGTGTGACACAATCCTGACACATCGAAATCAAATCAAATTCAAAGCAGTCTCGAAAATGGCTGACACGGGGCCAAGTAAAAGTGATATCGAAGCAGTATTTCAAAGGCTACGAGCGATTCCTTCCAACAAAGTGTGTTTTTATCTAAGTTCCGATATCTGTCAGTTTATAATTCGGGTGTTTGATTACCAGTTTTGTGTAGGTATGTTTCGACTGCAACGCCAAAAATCCTACGTGGTCGTCGGTGACGTTTGGTGTGTTCATCTGCCTGGACTGTTCAGCGGTGCATCGCAGCCTGGGCGTGCACATCACTTTCGTGCGCTCTACGCAGCTCGACACCAATTGGACATGGAAGCAGCTCAGGAACATGCAGCTCGGCGGCAATGTGAACGCAGTACGGCCCGATATCATTTCATGTCCTATATGACGATTATTATGTTGTGGTGATTTATTTAGATACTGAGACAGACATTATATCCTCGTCATTGAAATCATTTGATTCTCAGACACAATACTTCCGCACGCACGGATTGTCCACCGATGATGCTCGCCAGAAGTACAGTTCACGAGTGGCGCAGATGTACAGAGACAAGTTGAGTGCATTGTCTGAACAGGCAATGAAGACACATGGCACAAAGGTAATGTTACACAAAATGTCTCTAGAAATTATATTATGTTTCAATAAAAATAAATTAAACCTGTACATTGTTACATTCTGTCACGAATATTTAGTTCTTTTCTGATATTATTTTGCCTGAGTAAAATCCTTTATTATTAGTTCTAAAATATGTTTAACATTATTTAAGACTAGCTGTTATCGCGACTTTGCCCTTGTTGAATTAAAAAATGATGAAAAACATGGGCTAACTCACTGATATCATAGCTTTATGATGGTTAAAGAATTTTTGAAATAGGCCCGATAGGTTTTGGGTTAATTCAAGAAATACAAAAATACTTATATTTCCTCTTTATAATCATTTATTTAGTTGCTCTTAAAAGTCTTTTAGACCGTTGGAGTGAAAATGAGTGGTTTGATTTGTTGGTGAAGCATTTGCTAAATTGCTATTAGGTATTGTTATAAGTAACATTGACACAGGTCTTCAAGTAAATTCTGTTTATAACAGTCATTACATACCTCTCTTGTGCCAGTGATGCCAAGTAGATTTTATCGTCTAATGCAAAAGGCATGCTCCCAAATCTTAATCAGTTAGCATTTAACCACACTGATATTTCCATCACATATTTTACATGTTGGATATTAGGACAGACCCTTAGATTTTTACAATTATCCTTTTCATTAGAACATTAACACAGATTTAAATGTAATTTCAGTATTTAGTCATTAGGTTTGAAATTTATTTTAATAAGTAATGTGTTATGTTTGTCAGCTTCACCTGGAGGCGGCCGCGCCGGAAGTGAGGGAGAAGGAGAAGTCAGAGCTGGAGGTAGACTGGTTTGCGCAGCACGCAGATGTCCTTGCCAATAATACTAACCAGCTAAGCCTTGACGCACAGGTAACCCACGCCCAGCCGCTGCACTGCTCATTATTATTTTTTTTTAAATACAATATTGACAAATTCGCAACATACCCTTCAAATCATATATAATCCTATAACAAAGATGTGTTATTTGTTTATTGTGAATTTTCAAGTTTTGTTGTTTTTAACTTTTCGTAATATTGATTAATTCTTTTTGAGTTCTTCCTAAAAATTGTGTTCATGGTTTGTTTTTATTTGTATCATTTGAATTTCTAAATCATAATGCACGCAAGCTGACAGCTGGTCATTTTCGAAAGAAACAAATTATTTCAATTCATTAGTTGCCTTATGATAATAATAAGTCTTTTATTGATGTATGTGACCTTACATAGACATGTAAATTTTTTAATGTACTAATAGATATCCCTTCAAAGCTGAATTATTTACAATCATGAATCACTCAAGATAACAATTTGTGTTATGTTAGTGAATAATGGTTGACATTTGTGTGTGTGTGTTATACAGAAGTCTGCGGAGAGCCTCAGCTCGGAGGCGCGGCTGTGGGGCGCGGGCGCGGGCGCGGCGGCGGGGGGCGCAGCGCCGCGCGCCGCCAGCGACAGGCCCGCGCCACGCCGCACCGGGGTCAGTGTGTTTCACAATTGTATTATTGAATTTTTAACATGCAATTCAAATTCAATTAATCATCATAATATTGCAGATGGGCGCGCGGAAAGGCGGCCTGGGCGCGACCAAAGTGGCAGCTAATTTTGAAGACATCGAGCGAGAAGCTATCATGGCAGAGAAACTAAAAATGGAGGTTTGTTAAATTATATGCAAATTGTAAAGTGAGAATTTAACACTGCAGCATATATTACTCACATAATTATTCATAAGAAAGTTCTTATTATTTTTAACATTCAAGGTATTAGTCTAAGTATAAAAAGTCTTGTGGTATGTTTTTATGAGCGTTTCCGCTTGCGACTGTTGGCTAAATGAGGAACTATATTTTTAATTGCAATGTTGCTTCTTCTTGTATTTTAGGTTAATATATTCGTATGAATGTCTGTGTGTCAGGCGGCGGAGGGGTCGCGCGC